GTAGTAGTAGTAGGAGCAGGAGCAGTAGCAGCCGCGGTAGCAGTAACAACAGCAGTAGCAGTCATTAGCAGTATTGATAACAATAGTCATTAGCAGTAGCCGTAGTGATGGTCGTAGTATGTCGTAGTGCTGGTATTGGTGGCAGTAGTACCCCGAACTGAGCGCCAGACTGAAGGGCAAGTGCTGGTATCCCATCTCGGTACCACAGCATCTACGAAACCCTGTAGAAGCATGTTCGAATCGCTGAGTGCTGTGGCCTCCACTTCCGACTCATCGTCGCATCGGGTGGTCACCTGAAGGTAACAGTCTGACAAAAAGCATCACCGAAACAATTTTTGCAAATTTGAATCCAAGACCCTCCGTTCGGGTCTTGCTGTCATGCAAGACCAAGCCCTTCTTTATGGTTGCCCTGCAGCACACAATCTTTGTAACGGCTGGCTGCGCTAACTCCATTTGACACCTATATTTTCAATGCTGTTGCCCAATGTTGCCCATGCAATCTTCTGCAGGCCTCCAGGGGGACGTACGTGGGGCCCTTGGATGTGCCAGTCATGCTGACCTTCACTGACTACGACGAGTGATGCCCGAGGTGTGGCACTGCTCGGGTGTGTTTGGTGTTTTGCCGAAGCAAGCTTGGGATGACGTGCCCGCAAACAAAGAACAAGTAAGGAAACAGTTGACATGGTAGGTGATGCTAGCTTGAGCAAGCCAGCCGGCAAACATCTTGCTGTTGTTGGAGTGACATGGTCGAAACTGACAACAAAGTGGTCAACAAGACCCTCAAAGCTTTCGAATTCAAAAACACTTGCAAGCTGCAAGAGTGCTTTTACCAGCTTGGCATCTCTCCAATCTGCTTCTTTTGCACAGGCGTTCCATCGCCTTCGGCCGAGCTGATCTGAGCTCTGCCAACATGGATACAGCTTAAGCGGCTTAAGCTCTCGCGACCGAGGCTCTCGGCTCTCGTCTCTCGGTGTGACTTGTTCATGGGCCTGCGCCTACGTGAAGTGTCGAAGAGCGCTGTTTCCGAGTCCGAGGGGCCACCGCCGACCCTCTGTCACTCTCGGCCCGAACTGCGGCTCAGGGAAGCGATGCCACAGCGGTCTGATCATGTCAAAGCTCTGGCCGTGATGCCTGCCAAGACTACCAGAGGCTGACGGCTGCTAGCGCCCTGTCCCACATAATGATACATGATGCACTTGCCTGTGCGACCTCTCGCTGAATATCCAGGGAGTGAGAAACCTGGCAAGCAAGCGCTGGCAAGGGCAAAGCAGCCACCAGCAAGCCGCGAAAGCAAAATTATGTCGCCAAGAGTCTGGGACATCAAACAGCGCGGCTTGCACGTCGGCTCTTTTTAGGAAAGCTTCCTCGATCCTGCCTGACGTAAGAATCTGGGCGTCGCGACAAGTGCGAGAATGGTTGCTTTGTATCCTACTTGAGCTGCTGACAGCTGACTCCTCAAGCATCTCGTAAGTTTTTGCGCATTGCCTGCACCTGCTTAGATCATAAAGCTTGGGCTCGCAAGTGCTGGCCCAGGTGCTGTTCATCACAGGATACCCACGACCAACCATGCCATAGATGTCGTCCATGTCCTTGATATGTTCGGTTTGACATTACTTTATGTTGCTTTGATGTAAATCTGCAGCCTGATGTTGATGTTGGCTGAGGGCTGCCATGTGCGAAAGAGCTTCAACTGTTAAGCGAAGACCGTGGCATAGATCTCCAGACTTGTAGGATGAATCTCTGCAAAGCTCGACGGGATCTTTAGTAAACCGCCTTGGCTCTGCACGGCATTCTGTCAAAGTTTCACTGAGACACCTGTATTGACCTGTGTCGCATCGAAACTACAGGGCGAAAGTGAAAGCTGAGCAACTTGGTTTGAGAGTTGTAAAGATGCAGAGACCAGCAGCGGCTCCAGTCCACAATCCCAGACTCTTCCATTAATTCAACAAAATCCGAGGCATGCCAGGAAGATGCGAAGAAGCCGCTGCTATGCGCCAGAATTGCAACTCCTTCGGGTCGGATGTCTGCTAGCATGTCGTCCAGAACATGCCTGAGCCAACAAATCGGCCAATAGAGTGCACCATGCACGCAGCCACTTACAAGCAGGGTCAGACCTTACATTCGCCGCTCCAACACCGGAGTGACAAAGAGAGACAGACAGAGAAGGGGAGCGGAGAGAGCAAGAGGAGAGAGAGAGACAGAGAGAGAGAAAGAAAGACGGAGAGACACGAGAGAGAGAGAGAGAGAGACAGACACAGATACATGGTGAGAGCAAACGAACACGAGCTAGCCAGACATGGGAAAAATCGCAGATGGGGTCGTGCAGCATGATTCCTAGATTCTTGGATTCTCGAACAGCCGAACAGCCCTATTTATGCTTCTGCTTTGGTGTGCCAGTGTGTAGGATTTGGACCATTGCCTGCTGACTCGTTGATGTCTGCAGGAGTTTTGAGCTTCTGCTGGGGCAACTGGACGAAGCCCAACACGGTTCTGCTGTTCTTCTTGTCCAGGGTTCTGCTCCAATGTCCTCTGCTTAGCCCGGACTTTTCCGGATAACTAAGCCAATGTTGTGATTCAGTGACATAAGGGCTTCGCCTTACCAATACCAAGTAGTTGTCACGGTCTGCTATTGTACCAGGAAGGCTCACACTCTCTAAGTCTCTTGCCCAGCATGTACTCCCCAGGATCCGGTGTAAGCTTTCCTCATTCGATCAAGCAGGGGCAGCAGCAGCGGGGAGTGCTTCTCAAACATCATCAATCCCACTGTAGCACGTAGCTCCACTCCACCCTGTCTTGCCAGAACGGCCCTCCATCCTCGCAGGTCCTCAAACTCACGCAAGGACAATGCATCCGTATCCATGTATATACCACCCCAATCGTGCAGAATCTGAATGCGCCGGAAATCAGCTATGAACGCAGGATGGCTGAGTCGAAGTCCATTCAGTGAAGATGGCACGCTCGAGCGTGAAAACGGAACTACTGCAGTGATGAATGCCCTGGCAGCTTGCCACCAGTCATCAAAAGTGCCAGGCTCCACTCCATCTAGAACATGAACCAGCAATTGTTCCGGCTGGAGCTTTTCCCAGGCACTTCGGATGGCTGCATAGCACGGCCAGTCAAAGAATCGGGTGTCTCGGTCGGTGAGCACAAAATGGACAATGTTCGGAATCGGGCGATTCCAAGAAGCTCCAGACCCGGTTGAGCTGCATTCACAGCTGATGTTTGCAGATTGGCGTTCTCTGTGGCATGTCACTGTTTGGCACTGGGACTCCCAGTGAAAGCGTTGTTTACTCCGGTGCAGGTGCCACGCTGCAAACTCCACGCCGCCATCTACTAGGCGAGGCAGCGACGGCGACAGCAGCAACCTTTGACCAGCAATTTCATACGCAATGCCGAAGGCATCGTTCCCCTCGGTCGGCACACAGGCAAAGCTCCATCCGAGTCCAAACTCTGTGTAGCAGTCTGATGAGTTCTGCAGCTTGTGTACTTCCATGTTCCGCCGCTCAACATCCACGAAAGGCAAACTCTGACTCCCATGCACCAGCAAGCGCCCTTGCTCACGAGACAGCTTCTGTACGCCACGGCCAGACAAGCGCGACCACCTGGGCTCTATCAGCAAAGGACTGAAATCCACCCAAATGCGCGCATGTCTCAGTGCGGCAAACCAGATGGCAAGCTTCTCATCGAAGAAAAGGTTTGCTTCTGACAAGAGCCCCTCTGCATAGCACCCCCCGTAGTTCACGTGGCCCGGACCCTCCAGGCAACCGTCCACGAAGTGGCGCCAGAGGGGCGTGTTTTGAAAGAGCGTGAGCTGTCCCGACAGGTACAAGGCCGGCCTGGCACCGTCGGGGAACGAAATCACATCGTACTTCGTCAACAAATCCTTGGTTAAGAAGAGGTCGAGCCTTCCCCAAATCATGTCAAGATCTGTCCAGCCCCAATGTGTGTAGTTGCGCAGCTCCTCCTGAAACAAAGCTCCATACAGAGGCTTTAGATCGTTGCCTTTTGCTGGGTTGTCATCCGCATAGCACTCTGCCACACGATCTTCGAAAGACTCAAAGGACATGGTACTGAAGACGTTTTGCATCACGTCAGTCTTCCAAAGTCTGGTTGCCAAGCTTTTCAAGGTCAAGTGCTCAAAATGAACGCGGTCAGAATGCACAGGAGGTTCTTCGTCATGTGTGTGGAAAATGAAGAAAGTGGGTCCACTGCCCCGCGCAGTCTCTGCAAAGGCGCTGACGAAGGTAGGCAACCTGCCCAACCACACAACAACCAGGGCCACCGAAGTCACCGAGGCATCCGAGGGTCTTTCGGTGTTGGTGACCCTGGTTTGGCTGGCGGAAGCCGCAGTCCAACGTCGAGATCTGGAATGCAGTGGCAATGGCCCCAATTCACGTACCTCCGCCAAGGTGGTCGTCGCGGTGGTGCCTTCAACACCTTCAACGCTCCTACTCGAGAAATCCTCCGAGCAGTCACCTTTCACCAGAAAACCCTTCGACCGGTGGCAAGCATGCTTAGTCTTCCGTGGAGGACTGCCGCTGCACATTTCCACTTGAATCTTCTTGCCACAAAGTCTCGCAGGAACCTGCCACGGGAATATGCCAGTGGCCTTTGTGTTGCCGGTGATCGAATCTAAAAAATTGCCCGATCTGTCACGAACGTAACCCCAGGAGTACCAGCCCTTGTCAGAACCGACGAAATGGCTCCATCGCACCGTGACATGTTCGTCCACCTCTAGCTCTTCAGCAGCCAACACCTGGCATGGTCAATCATAATTTAGGTCAAGCCTAGTTGTGCAGTGGACCAAGAATGCCGACAAACCCTGCAGATCTTGTGACAAGCGTCCGTCCCCCGCTCCAACCACACTTGCTCAGGAGAGTCTGGAACGGAGTCGCATGCAACCAGTGCAAGACCCGCAAGACTCCAGATCGCCGAAACCCGACGCATGAGCGAATGCTGGTTGGCTTCAAAACTGGCCCATCACCATGTCAATTCTACGTGCTGAAGACCATCTCTGTCTTTGGGCCTGATCATACGCATACATCCACGACCATTGCATCAGCTGCTAAACACATAGTCTGACTTCGTTGTGGTTCAAGCGCAGGCATGCGTGGGCCGCATGCGACGTTCAAAACTGCGCAAACCAAACTGATTTTGCTCTGCTTTTGATTCCTCGCAGATTGTCACGGCTCCTCTGACGACATTTACCTGCTGGCACGGTGCCAACAGGAACGTCCCAACTCCAAGCTGTTGAGCCGTCGTTCTCGTTAGCAATTTGAGGTCTTGCACCGTAGTCTTAACGGATCCTGGCACTTCGTGCTAACTTCCTTCAGGCTCGAGAAAAGTTTCCGCTATCCTCATCGGCCCCTTCAGGGTTGCCCAAGCTTTGTGCGCTGTAGGGACTGCGGACCTCGGCAAACGGTACTCTGAGGCCGTAAGAAACACTGATATTGTCTGCAGGCCAAGCCCCAGGCCGAAAGCTTTGTGAAGATGTCTAAGCTGACACTGATGTCGGAACGAGATCCACATGACGCCAGTGCTCGACACAGAACGCCCTTCACCAAGTTTCAGAACTAAGATCATAGACTGATAGTACCACCAAGCAAAGTTTGCTAGGAATCCGCGGGGCCAGCCCGAGACGTTTCATGTTAAAGGTGGATCTCGCAGTGGTTGGGGTAAGAACTGTGAGCGTGCACGGTTATGATACAGGAACCGGGATCCCGGCAATGCAAAGCCGAATTCACGCAGTTTCAAGATATGGCTACAACACCCTTTGGATGTTGGGCCGTGTGATACATGCTCCGTTGCATTATCATAAAGGGCACAAAGATAGGTTGGGCTGAGCGCTATCGTCGCCTTCAACATCGTCGCCTTCAACAAATAAATTATGCCGGCTTTCTCAGCACGTGTCGGTTTGAACTGTGAAGTCTGCAAGACAGCCCAACCATCCGATACCTACCCCTTGCTCTTGAGGGTGGTGTCGTGCCAGCTTGTGTCAATAAATTTCGTGAAATCTAATTCTTCTGGTGTGCCAGTCTTTTCAATGCCTGAGACTGCTGGGGTTTCCAACAGTGTTGAACCAGGAACACCATTGCGTTGCGCTTTTGCGCACGCATGAAGCAAATCGTTGTCCGAGTAGGGCCAGAGTACACAGTCTTTGGAAACTGTCGAGCTTCAGCCGTGCTGTGTGCCCAAACCCGCCTCAGCTTACCAAGTAGACAATGTCAGAAGTGTAACTTCAAAAGGACATGAGGCTATCAAGGGGTCTTGACAAACCAAGAATTCCTGTTCTGTGCGAACTGAAAATACTGTCAGCAACAAGCACATGCGTATGGACCGTGTTATAGTCCATCAGTCTGCCAGGCGCACCTAGCTTTTCTGCGTCAGGACGTTCCATGAGGACAGGCCCACGTATGTCAGCCACAAGCAGACCTTAGGGTTGAGTGCACAAGACTGCATGACTGGGTGCAGTCGGCACAGTGATTGATCCAGACTAAAAAGTCCGACAAGACGCGGCCGAACGGACAGCGCATGCACGCGCGCAGACTTGGGGTCTGTCTCCCCGCCTGTAAATGGGAATGGATGTTGATGGCGCCGACTCCCCGCTCCCACGTGTGGGTGTAGGTTGGAGCTTTGCTCAATTCTCCCTTGTCCCTGAAGCTGTGGGTGTGTGGTCCCTGTTCCCGCAGCGATATCAAGATCTGCATCGTCTGGGTCCAAGAACATCAACTGTCTCGCATCCCCGTGACGGTCTCCAATTTGCATGCATCTTTGCGACATCTAATTTCAAAAGCAGCAACTGTCACGAGGAAGGCTTTCAGACTCATCCATCCGTGTGATGCAAGGCCGTGGTCCATCAACAACTGTCACGAGGATTCCGGCTCCAAGCCCCCACGTCATTGTGAAGTGAATGCAGGACGCCTCATAAGACAAGCATTCAACCACGATGATCAATGCATGTCACCTGTGGTGCTGGAATCGGGCGTGGGCGCAGTTATGCTTCAGGTTCAGGATGGTGGAGGTTCACGGTTTAAGGGGAGTTAAATGAGGTGTCTCACGCTGGAGACGATCGTCCGCGTGTACATGCGTGAAACCTCGCACTCGCAGTGAACCTCAAATGCATACTGTCAGAAAAGTCGCGCGGGCATGTCGTCTTGCCGCGCATTGCAACAAATCGGGCAAGGTCCACGCGGCTGATCACGCCACCTTTCCTGCCCCGGCATGAAGCTCCGTTCAGCTGTTCGGTCTGTACACGCACAGAAGGAACACACACACACACACAAGAAAAGACACAAACACCAATGCATGCATGTGTATGCATGCAGACCGAGAGACAGCAAGACACAGAGACAGAGAGGCAGACGGACGGCGGACGGACGGAGGGACAGACAAACAGAGGGACAGAGAGAGAGACAGAGAGACCGACAGAGAGACAGACAGACAGACAGACAGACAGACAGACAGACAGACAGACAGACAGACAGACAGACAGGCAGGCTCAGTCGTGATAAGATTTCTGTGACAGCTGACACTGACCCACACACAAGGCAATCATTATGACTAACTAGCAGTCTCAGCCAAGGGCAAGGAATCCTGAGGTTGCATACATCAAGCCTCGGGCAGCGTCCGTGTATCTGTCTGCAAGCTTTGAACTCCTCATCCCCAACCCGGTAACCCAGGGCCTGGCCTTTCGGACCGCCGAGCTCGCCACCGACAAACCATCGTCGTATCAGAATCACCTTGCAACAGCACCCTCCAGACCGTCACAGCACTGCACGGACGCACTCGTTCATGACTCATGACCTCTGAGTGCAACACCATGATGCAGCAAGACGCGCAGCAGCAAAAGACAGCCACCTCAACAACAACGAAAACTATCAGGTCAGCGAAACCAAGCTCTGGACAAGTGCTGGGCTCGCGGCGCTAAATCCCAAGTTCCCACCTAAAACCACGAACTGCCCACCTGTCGGATAAATGTCCACGACACCTCGCAGGCGAGCGTCGGGTATTGTGCATCAGGCCTCATCTTTTCGAGGTCCGAACTCTGGCCACGGTACTTCTCAAACCAATAATGATCCGCGGACAACTCGCCTGGGCACAACCCTTTGTGCCGTTGCTCCAGCATCATATGCGCGCACGCGTGCCTAGAGCGGCCCAGTAGATGGCTCCGATGGTCCAAGGCAAGCCGAGACCAAGGAAGACCTGATTTCACTCGAGTCTCAGCCTGCTTTACCAGTGAAGAATCTCCGCTCAGCGCTTGGCATTGACGGAGTTGCTTCCAGTGACATTTCCGATGGAAGCATCTGCTGTGGGATCCTGCAGAAGGAACTGTTAAACGCAGGCTGTTCTTCGGTCTGCTTACCATGAAAGCGTTACGAACGGTGTCTCGAAACAGAACCACTTCTATGAAGTTCTATGTGTCTACGACGCTCCCTAAAATCAACGGCCCAAAGCCCACAGTGGGGATTTTGAAGCTGTACTCAGTAGGTGGACTCCTAACCCTGTCCCGGTGTCTCCTGAACTCCATCCAAACCTCGACCCCCACGTCGGAGTGGAGCTACTCTATCAACACATCGGTACATAACAGAAACCTCCAAGCCCAAGACCTGAATCCACAGGCCTCAGATGCCTACCCCATGAAGACTCGGGCGACAGGTGACGAATCATGCGGAAGAGGATGTCGCTTCAGAATCGAAAGTCGATGCGTCGACGTGGGCAAGTGGCAGTCAAGGGTGGGGAGGAGCTTGCCCCGTCTTGTGCTATGCCATGCAAGTTGCGAAAGTCCTGCTCCGCGGCTGTCTTGGATGCAAAGGTGTCTGGCCTTCAGAACATGATGGGAACACGTGGGGATCACCCGGTTAAAGCAGCCACGTCAGTGCCGAAATGAGGTCGATGCAGCGAAGTGCCAAGGGCAACCAGGGAGATTGCCGTGATTTCGTCTGGCATTTGTACCACACCTGGCAAAAGCACCGCAGCCTTTGCTAGGTTTATCGAGGAAAGCTGAGCTCATACTTGCCGGATTTACAGCCGCAAAGCTCGGCTAAGTCACCTCCAAGTCAAACAGGGTGAACTGCAGGGTTTCAAGAAAATCGAACGGACTCCAGACCACGGTCAAACCTCACATCCAATGAGGCAACTGAAAGACAAATTTCGACCTCCTGCTAAGAGGCCCTTGGCAAGTGTTTGCGGTAGCTACAAAGACATGCCTTCTTTAGCCTATTCTAGCGAGCTTCCCAGACCATGAGAAACCTGGGCAGACTTTCGGAGTTTTGGAATAAGTTCCAAGTCTCCAAATTGATCTTGGCATTTTCGGACGTCCTAAAATCCAAAAACTGATCCTGTGCTTCGTGCAGCTTAAGGCTTAAGGAAATTGGAACCGCTTATTCAACTCAAAAGCAAGTTCATTGCGAGAGCTACGCTGTGCATGCCACGCCCAGGCGATCCCAGACATGTCACCCTCCTTAAGCCTGTAAGTTAAGCCCGCCTAGACATCCCCCCCCCGTCAACAAGAAAGAATCACACCCGAACTCACCAAAACCGTAACCTACCCCCCCTCCCTGCCCCAACCCCGAGCCCTCTCATTACACCCCAATCAAGTCAAAGCCCCGGAAAACTCTTGGATCCTGCTAACCCCTTGACCGCCCCTGGTCAGTCCTAAACCCACGAAACCACCTGAAACCCTCAAAATGCCTCTATTGCACGACTGTTGGGCTACTGCAATACCCCTGTACAAGTGCATTACTGTACTACTACTGCACTACCACTGTACTACTACTGTACTCATGTCTGGAGAGCAGGGTCTGGGGAGCAGATTGGGATCACAATGTTCAGGACGCCGCCAGACAAAACACAGAGCCACGTTAAGTCAGTATGCCACAGGATGCAGCTCAACTACTGTGTGCAGCGCGCCTCAACAAGCAAAAGCCCTGTACATCCCTAACCTTATCGGTGCATTTTTGAGGTATATCGAGATGTGCGCAGATAGAGACTAAGACGCATGTGTCATTAGTAGGAATGTTTCGAACAGTCAACGGTGGAAGCATGTATGTGTATACATTTTGAGTACAGAGCTAGCTTTTTCGTTGAGTTGCCTTGTATGTACATGTTTATGTACATGTACATGTACATGTGCATGTTCATGTAGATGTCGACAGATGTGATGCATGTTTTTAGATGTAAATGTACATGTAAATGCATGTGTACATCTGCATGTATATCTGTATATATATATATATATGTGTGTATTTGGATGTGTGGTTGTATTCGTGTTTGCATACAACGAAAAAACGTACACCTGAGCAACCGTCGCATCACACGTTCCTGGTACGTGCGTGGGACATATCCAGCGGTATAGAAGGATGCATACACTGAAATGCCATCGGCTCCACTGGTATGGAATGACATGTCTAAAACAATAATGAACAACTTGTATAATGCATGCAATCTCGTGCATTTTGAACTCATTGAAGCATAAATGCCTATCCCACAGAAGACAATAGGTGGGAAGGCCTTCCAGCCCTGGAACAGTCATGCTCCTTAGACCCTCAAGGCGGATGTTGAACCCCGACAACCTAAACCCAAAAGGAGATGAGATGTATGTAGGTTCGGAAATCGCGCAGCCGTAAACCCTAAAAAGAGATAATGTCGGCTGGAGAACCTCAACCCTAAACAGAAGATGCTTGTTCGGAAACCCTACCCAAATGTTGGCTGGCGAGCCCTCGACCCCAAAAAGGAGATGCTGTTGGCTTGGGTACTGCAAAGGAAGATGCTGGTTGAGAAAACCCTGTAATAGATGTCGCCTGGTGAACCCTCAACCCCAACAAAGAAATGTTGCTGGCTGGCGAACCTCAACCCGAAAAGGAAGATGCTGGTTGGGAAACCCTGGCACAGACGTTGGCTGGTGAGCGATACACCCTATGGAGATGCTGTTTGTTGGCGAACCCTGAACCACAGATTCAGGCACTGGCTGAGAAAACTCTGAAAGACATCGGCCCTGGCGAATCCTAAACCCGAAGAAGACAGATCTGGAAAACCCCTTAAGTTGGCAAAATCGTGATATCCTAAAGTCTACAAGATAAAGCCTAAGGTGAAAGTTCTAGACCCTGAGGAAGGGTGTGTGGAGCGGGCCTAAACCCTAAAAAAGGCATCGCCCGCGAACACAACTTGTGCAGTGGGGACTTGCTTAAATGTCGCGCAGCAAGCAAGATCAAGCAAGCTTGCCCGAGCGCATCCCGCGATGAAGCCAAGCCACACCAAGGCCGAACCAACATTGAGCCCTAATTGTTTTGCCCGAAACAGCGTGGTACGCACCATGGGGTTCTTACGTTGAGAGTACGGAGAATTGCTCGCCACGTGACGCTCGGGACACAGCTCCCGCTAATGTTTCGCCTCGCATCCGATTATTTCCGCAGCATCCGCCGGAGAGCCAGATTCATTGAATCTCAGCTTTACTTGGGTCGAAGCGTTTTCCCCGTCCTCTCGAATCCCATCAGCATGTCGGGGAAAGCATTTGGGTCGCCCTTGTGAATCCCGCCGTATTGGGGAAAGCATTTTGGCCGTGGTCCTGAATACGCCATTACTTGGGGGAAGCTGCCTCGTCGTGGGCTGGTCGTCCTGGTCGTAGCGTGCGGCGGACTGGTGGTCCTAGGTCCTTGTGGCTGTGATCTTCAAGGTCGTCATGGTCGTCGTGGTGCCGTTTCAACGTACGTACGTACGTATGTACGTACGTACGTACAGAAGCAGACAGGCAGACAGACAGACAGACAGACAGACAGACGGACAGACAAATTCAAGCCATGCAGTACGACGGACTCTATCTATCTACCTGTCTATGCATCCATCCATCGCATGCATACACGAGGGTAAACGAAAATTTGGCGTAGCCGATATAGCTAAGACTTGAACGATTACGCCAGAGGCGAAAAGTCTATCGAAACCTCTATTGATTGCAAAGTTTGTGAGAGTCAACAGGCGGCGACAGCCTGCAATTCACACGCATGGGCGTAGTGAGTCTGTTTATGTGTGCATTTGTGTGCCTGCCCAACATATCAGTCATACGACAGCATGTTGACATCATGTCACATGAAAGGATGATTGTTGTATCTTCATATCGCTGTGTCGATGACGTAAGTATTGCAGTTTGACTTGGAGCCCACATCGGGCAAGAGTAATCAATCCTTGCCGGCGCAGCGGCACACGACGCCTTTCTGTTTCGTGTCTGCAAGCTCCCTGTCCGCATGAAAATCCGAGCTTGGGACTCAGCATACGATTTGCTGAAATCTGCTGTATGGTTTTGCTCGAGCAGATTTCCTCTTCCGGGGAAAATCGCAGCTTAGGACTGAACACCTGGCTTCGAGTGAAATGGAAATCGCTGGTTTCGCAATTCAAACTTCTGGTTCTACGCCCCTGGCATGGCTTCCCCCCAGACGACGCAGCAACAACTAGACACTTAACAATCCACGCAAAAGTGCCAAGGACGGGCCTATAACTGCAGTCACTGCGCCAATCATGGCTAGTGAGGAACAGAAACAAAGCCAGCCACCGCAGTAGTCGACCTGAGCACTGGTACCGCTGAAACCTCAGAAAAAGGAGTTCGACCGAATAAGGACGCTGCCGGAGGGATCAAAGCAAAAATGACCTGGTCTCGGCCGGGTCTAGCGCCACATTACGCAGGACTGTCACTGCCACAAGGCCTTCCAGGGCATCGTGATGAGGTGGAAGATCCAGGCAGTGGCCAGCTCACAGCCCTCGGAGACAGCTCGGCACTGAGCGGCAAACCTACGCTGTCACGCAACCCTCAGATGCTGACTGCTGCTTCCCCAGCATCGAGGAGAACCGCATCAGTGAATTGGTCCTTCTGCATCGGACCATGCGTGTTGTTACAAAATGCGACACGGCCCACGAACCGTGCCTTCCAGTTGTCCCTGGCCATCATCTGCACCTCCCAGTTCACTTTGAAGGCCTCGACTCATAGTCGCTTTGGACACAGGCCCAGACTTAGGACATGTTTTCACTGCAACAAGGGTCTATCTTGCATTCCACGTCTTCGAAAGACAAGGTCAAAGTATCGCGAGCCCAGCCTGCTTGAGCTTGTCTGCTCGGCGCTTCGTCACTTCATCGCTGCCAACAACTATCGTGCAGATGCAGCATTCCTGCACCGAAAGTGACGGTGTCGCGTCTGAAATCCTTCCACCAAAAACAATCGATGGTGGCTCCTCTCCACCATCAGTATGGGCCGCAAAACCGACTCCACCTGTCCTGAGTCGCAGGTACAGCTAACTTCCAGATCTGCAAGCAGAAACTCCTGGTTGTTTAGGGGCTGGAGAGGAATCTTGAGTGGCTTGAGTGCCACGCGCTTCTTCTATGTACAGCCTGAAGATGGAGGTCGTGTCAAAGCGGCCTGGACACGGTTTCAACTCAGGGATCGGAAGCCTGGCAGAGTCCTTACTCTCCGCGGCGTCAAGAAACCAGCCTCTCGGCTTAATGGTGATGTGAATCTCATTCTCCGTCTGTGGAAGGGCAAGCAACATCCCTCTCCCACGCGTCCAACTTCACGCAGTCTGAGGCCAGCCTCCTGATCTGCAAACTCCAGTGTTCCTGTGGCTTCTTCGTAGTCTATGCCGGCGATGCCAGTGCCATCTTCTGTCCGGTAGGAACAGGACACGGCCCTGGCATGGCTTCTGCATTGGCGAATGATATGTACTTGAACCATTGGAGTGGTACAGGTACCTCGGTACCTCCTGTGCATCTCATCTTAGACGCAAGCAGATGCTATGTGTCTGTAGACAGCCCCCTGCTAGTCCAGTGTAGTAAACGGTTGGGGTGTCTGCCAGGCACTATGAAGAGTAATAGCTCGCGACACGGGCTAGATATCAAAGCATCACCCAATCCCATGTAAGCAATGCACGAATTCTTGTCATAAAATACGTGTTCTCAAAATGACACACGACAAGCAGTTTCGGACGCTACGAAAGTCGATTTTTAAACACGGTTTCGCCAACATCACGTTGGAGTAAACTGCAAGTTGCGCAAACGTTTATATTTGTGATTTTGCCGGGCTTCGTGTGACAGCATCCATTCTATCCACAACTTGGTGCAAATTGGCGAGGTTGCCCTTTGGCACCGGCATGTCGATGGACCATAATCGATATGACCTCTGGAACAAGGAAGGAAAGGAATTCGCCAGGGACAAGAACACGCGCATGTGCAGACGGCAAGGCCTTCTCGCCGCTAAAATCCTCGCTAACCTGGGGATTGGACTTAAACCTACAAGGGCCGTACCCCAGTGCTCCAAGCAAGTCTCCCTGGTTCCCTGGTCCCTGCGCCTTCTCTTCTTGGCTGCTGAAGGCCAGAACTCCGACCGCATCATCATCGACGATCCTGACCTGCAGGCCGTCGACCGCAAGCAAACGCGTGCGCAATCCACAACACTGTGAACGTGCTCGATGTGGTGCTGGGCGTCGGGAATCGATTTGCAAGAAGCTACGAGAAACCCAAAGAAGTAATCCTCCGCTCCCGATGCTCGGATCCATGCATCAAGCTTGCGTGTGTTCCCCCCATTATGTTGGAAGACCGCCAGAATCAGATAGACGCCCGTGACAGCACAGATCGGAGCGGCATGCGTAGACGGCCATAGGTCCAAAAGTCCAAGCTGCACAGAACCCTGTGCGAACTCAACCCCTTTCAATCGGCTCGGAGTCCTGAAGAAGGGAGAAACCAACAACGTGTAGAACGCGAGATCATCCCAGCCAGGTGCTGTTTGTCCGAAGCATCAAACCCAGCACTCGACTATGCAGGCCCATGGACGGAATCATAGAAAGAAGCCATAGGAATACAACTTCGGCCACACCCACCCAACCGACCCACGACCGATGAAGCCCACAACCAATCCACTATGCAAAGATGAACCAACTTCCCTCAACCCCAGGACCCATTAACGGAGCCACCAAAACCAACACTCCGGCCTATCGGCACACCGATCGGAACTACCAACACCCATTTCGCGATCAACCGATCCAAGTGCCATGTGGACGGCCCAAACGAGCCACATGAAAGAAAGCATGAAGGGAGCGTATCGGGAGCCAACAAGTCCGCACGAAAGGAATTTTGACAGAAGCCCACAGTCCACTTAATGGACCCGGCCACTTATTCTGAGGAGACAATCGCTTCGGGAAGAAAGCGGCATCCGGCAGTTTAGGCTTTCTCAGCCCGAAATTGCTACAGGAGCGCTGCCTTTCTCGTGTCGGTGTCCCGGTGTGATTTTGGGGCTCGCACACCGATTCCGCAATGCTAGGGGCTGGGAAAGCGCGTGCAAGAGGCACCAGCTTCAAAATCTAGAGTCTTGTCGTCTTGCCCGCATCTCTCGAATACATTGGAGTCTGTCCTAGACCGGGTTTTCTGAGGTAAGGGACGCAGTGAAGCAGGATTACCACTGCAATCGATCTCACTCTGCCTCCCTCATCCTCTGTCCGTCTCTGCGAAAGACAGAACATTCGAACCCATCTGGCAAGAGAACCCCATGAACCGAGCTCGTCGACAGAACGCGCAGCACAACTCTGGCGCACATGAGCGGTCTTGTTCTTCCCCAGCTTCGTCTCGACCTCAATCAATTTGGAGGAGTATCGTGAGCACAAAAGTAGCGGCCTCCCTTTCCAACGCGATGGTACGATCCCACTCTCGACCTTGCTGCTATAGCCTTCAAGAAAGCATGCCGGGCTTAGCACCTTTGTTTCGTCGACGGTGAAGGGCTGGTAGAGCTCAACATCAAAGTACGTGTCGGGCTCATGCTCGTCATCATCGAGGATCTGAATGTATATCATCTTCTCCGTCTCATCCTACAGGAGATGTCCATCTGCATCGTCATGGGAATTATTAACTGGCCTCTTCAAACTCCAGCTTGCCCTCAGCCTGGATGAAGTCTTTCCCATCCTTTGCCGTGACTTCTTTCGTTCTGTACCTCGCAGCTTCGAGAATGAGTTCGGCAGCTGATGTAAATCTGCTGCCCAATGAAGGTCGGGTTGCATGACACTCCCCTTGCCCAACGGCTCGATGCTGTCGGACTCCCGGGTGACGAGCAGCTCCTCACAAGCAAGGCTCGTCTCGCACGAAGGCTTTGTGACGGGTGCCGTTTGCAGAGGCCTCTGGGCCTTTTGCAGCAGTGCCCAAGGCCCAAGGCTATCCCATGCCACATCACATTGCATCTCATGTCCAGCTTGTCACAGCTTTCCAGGCAGGAGTATTCCAGGTGCCTCAGGAAACAAAGAGCACTGCAAAGCTGCTTTTCTCAAAAATGCGAAGCTACCAAGAGGTGGATCGAATCGTCTGCAGGGCTGAAGGGCTGATGTGAAGATTTTGCGTATTTCGAGCTCTTCAATGCTAGAGCACGCTGGTCGTGCGGAGGCTTTGGCGGATTCTGCAGCGTAAGGCTCCTACTCGAAGGCGAACACAACGTTGGGCTTGCTGGCCTCCTGGCACGGTGCTTCAGAAAGTCTCAGCGAGTTACATGTGAAAATATGAGCGATCGATTTCGGAGGTCTGGTGACCTGCTGCTCCGGCGACAGTTGCACTGGGACCTGAGTCGTCAAGGCACATCACGCTTCCAGACCCAAACGGCAAGTAGCTAAGAGATGGGCCACCTTGGTGTCAGATTTTCGCCTGCAAGTGCAAGCAATGACAGTATTTGTGTGCGTGGTATTTTCCTCCCTCTGGCTCGTCTGCGTGTATTCAATTTCGGCGGCACTGTTGGTTCACTCGATGACAGCCCTCCCCATCTGCGGCTTGAAGCCTTTGTTGTCTACTTTCTCTGCGCCCTCTGAATTGTGAATCAGCGCAGATGTTCCTGCAGCCTTGCCTTGCGTCCCTCTGCTGCCCTCACGATTAACCAGGCAGGTCTCATGCAGACCAGTGTAGGCAGCTCTGGGAAAGCCACCATGAAAGCAAACCGACAAAATTCTCATTGAATACACGAACGGTGTGTCAGCCTTCCACCACCGAAGAGCTTCTCTGTGGCCGCCATGCGTCGAGCTGCTCTTGAAGGTTCTTCCTGTGGCAGGCATGTCTTTCCTGGTAGATGTCGACCAGAAGTCTTAGCAACTCCAAGACGGGGACTGCTGCACCAAACTCTTCTCTAATGAGGGCCACAACCTTGTCCTGGCCCAAAATGAAACAGTCATGTTGAAACTCGAGATTGCAGAGAAGGGCCTCAAGCCAAGACATGACAGCTGGACGTCTGGAATCCCTGTACCATGCTTCTTGAGTATTCGCATCCTCATTGTGGCGATCTCCTAGCCGGCACGCCAGGCAGCAGATGTTCGTCACAAGCACTGTTCGGCCTGCTCCGTCGCCGCGTCCAGAAGGACCTTCTGCGCCTCCTTGTTGTTGCTCCCAGAGGAGAAATACCCCTTGTCCTGAGTGCAAGCAAAACAGAGGCAGTCTCAGTGACACCCAAATTCGGGTATATTATTGCCAAGGCTTCCCATGCGACGGAATGCTGAGCTTCTGGCAGCCATGAAGGCAAGACCCACTAGGACCGGAAACAAGAAGAACGTTATGAGTGCCTCTGCAATCGGCTGTGTAAGTTGGCCGCTTCACGTTTCAGACACATGAAGGATATTATGCATAGAACAAATCAGGTTCGACGCTTTGCATGAGCTTTCACTATGCCTGATAGAGGATCTAAACCGAATGAAGTATTCGTGTTGACCGAGTAAGCTGGGATCAGGGTCATCCTTGTTTCAATCCTGGTTCTGTTTGCTGAATGAATGCGTCAACAGAAAGGATGGGGCGGCTTTAGAATGGAAATACCACTGCAGAGTATGCCTGATTACTTGCTCAGTGCGTTCTCACTTTCATCCTACTTCCAAGAAACCAACTGCCAAAAAGCATTCACAACTGAGCTGGCTACTGTTTAGCTAATATTACTGCAGCTACTGGTAAACATCCTGCGTTGGTTTGCTGTGGAGGCTACGAGTATGACTGGGTGCTGTTATCGGCTGGGCATCAGTTAACTGCCCAGACTGACACTAACTCCCCATCTTCCGTCTTAACTGCACGTCGCACATCTCGGAATATGACTCACGGACTCCTGTTCTCCCCCGGTCTTGCCAAGCTGCTTCTGGAATCGTGATGACCTGGATGAAGCTGGTTTCGAATGGGACACTCGCAAGCGGGTTGGAGCTACTTCATTCAACATGCCAGTGCGACGTCAGGCGTCCACAACATGCACATGACGATCAGCCAAAGGTATGCAAAAACGGAGAAGGACGCCGTGACAGCAAAGACCTACAGGGACAACACTTCTGCCGTGGTGAAGGAGAACGATCAGACGCCTTGCCTGGATGTCCTTGATCCTACGGAATTCACCACCAGGGATTGCCGAAACACAAACGGCGGTGATGACCAGCAAATTGAAGGCTGCACTGCCAACCTGGAACGGAGACGACAATCAGCGTGTTTTAACCTGCTAAGCGCCCAGGGCTGTGGCAATTGTGGATGGGCCCAAATCGCCAGAATACATGTTGTTCTTGAGCAGCTCTATGACCTCACTAAGGCAATGCCAGACAGCTTTGCCAATTGTGCCATCATCTTGCATCATCGAACAATTGCACGACCTGGGACCCGGGGGTCGTACGCTCAGAAGGATTTCCGGAGCGCTCGAACCCAAGGCCATCAGCGTCAAGTTTGAGACGGTGGAATTCCACACTTTGACCTGACAAGCCAGCGGCTAGAAACTGCGGATCCGGCTGGCAAGTTCTGCTCTGCCAAGGGACAGTGATAAAAGTCTGCAGGTTGGAGCTGAAGATTCGCTTCTTCTTCGACGTGATCTGTTTTCGAATGCTTGCTTTTCTTGGTCTTTCGAATCTTGCTTTCTGCAACGCAAGGACGTGCTGCAGGCTGCACCTTCTCGATCGATCCCATAAAGATGTCAGAGACAATGCCTACGCCTTTGTCGACATGGGCAGGTATTGCTCCATCATAGAAGAAGACCATCTGAGACCCTGGCCCATGAAGGACCAAAATAGCCCAGTGAAGTACAGCACTGCACCTCAGCGCTCTCGCAATGCGTCTTTCATGGTTGCATAGGCAACAGAAAGAGGCAGAAGCTTCAGTGCACAGCTCTCAAATTCAGGAAATCATGCGTGGTGTGAAGGAACAACACGAACCTGAAGCGACCTGCACCTGGTGGCTTCGGGACCGCATATTGTAGAACTCTGTTCAAGTTGTAAAGAAGCTGACGGAGGGTCGTTCGGGACGTAATAAGTAAAGAAGAGGGAGACCGGAAGGCAGTCCAAAGCTCTGCAATTGTCGGGCTTTACATGCTACATGAGATGATCAAGTACATGAGCGTGGATCAAGCAAGGCTGCGAAGAAGAGCGAGGACGAGGATCCCTTAAGGGGTGATGCCCGAGTCAGAAAAAGGAGTCGAAAACGGTAGAGACCAATTCAGAAAACCTAGGGGACCGAGTCAGAAAGTGGAGAGGCCTGAGTCGGAAAACGAGGGCTGCACGAGTCGGAGAGCAGGGCTCGCGAGTCAGAAAACAACACAGAGGCCCTAAACCAAACCCTTAACCCTAAGCC